TCTACATGGAAAAAAGTGATATTGGACCCTTATACCATTTACATAAATTAACTCAAAATGAATTAGAGACTTAAATGTAAGATCTGAGACGATGAAAATTCTAAAAGAAAACCTAGGGAAATCTCCTTGACATTGGTCTTGGCAATAATTTTTTTGATAAGACACCAAAAGCACAGATGACAAAAGCAAAAATAAATAAGTGGAGTCACATCAAACTAAAAAGTTTCTGCATAGCAAAGGAAACTAACAAATGAAAAGTCAATATATAGAATGGGAGAAAATATTTGCAAGCCATTTATCCGATAAAAGGTAAATATGCAAAATATGTAAGGAATTGCTACAATTCAGAAGAAAAAAACCACATAACCTTATTTTTAAAAATGGGCAAATGACCTGAACAGGCATTTTTCTAAAGAAGACATACACAGGGCCAACAGCTATATAAAACATGCTGAACATTACTAATTACTAGAGAAATACAAATCAAAACTATAATGAGCTATCACCTCACAGCTGTTAGAACAGCTATTATCAAAAAGGCCAAAGATAGCAAGTGTTGACCAAGGTATAGAGAAAAGCAAACCCTTGTACACTGTTGGTAGGAACATAAATTGGTACAGCCATAGGGAAAACAGTATGGGGCTTTCTCAAAAGTTAAAAATAAGTCCAGCAATCCCGCTTCTGGTATATATCCAAAGGAACTGAAATCAGTGTGCTCAAGAGATACCTGCACTGCCATGTTCATTGCAGCAATATTTACAATGGCCAAGATATGAAAACATCCTAACTATCTGTGGACAGATAAATAGATAAAGAAAATGTGGAATACATATATAGTGGAATATATTTTTTGTGATAAAAAGGAAGGAAATCCTTCCATTTGTGACAACACGAATGGAACTGGAAGTCATTATGCTAAGTGAAATAAGCTAGACGCAGAAAAACAAATACTGTATGAGCTCACTGAACCCCAAAAAAGTTGAACTAATAAACGCAGAGAGTAGAATGATGATTATCAGAGACTAGGGAGCAGGGGACAGGAGGGAAGTTAGGCCAAAGGGTACAAAACTTCAGTTACAAGATAAACAGGAGCTTTTGAGCAGCGAGATCCAGGGACAGAGTCTCATCTTCCCGCTGCACTGCTGCTGCCTAGAGACAGCAGAACCCCTGTCCGCCCTACTTCCACCTACTCCGGACACAGAGCATCCAGTCATGGAAGACAGTTGAGGCAGAGCCAGTGCCTTGGGCAGCCCTCAGAAAAATCAGAACATACGGTTCTCTTTTTCTTTCCCTTCTCAGGGAGCTGGGTTTTTTTTGGAAAGGGGGCAGTTGTGGTTCAGTGTTGTTCTGTTTGTTTTGCTTACTTGCTTTGCCCTGAGATGGAAGGGGGGAATGTGGCATGTACTAGCTTGCTATTCAAACTGCAGCCTTTGTTCTTAATGATGCCCATGTGTCTAGGGTATGCCAGGTCCTGTCTGCCCTTGCCTGAGATAGGCAAGACAGAAGCAAATGCCACAGCAGTCCCCAGAAAAATTAGAATGCTGGACTTATGGCCCAGTGTTTTCATTCCTTCACCAAGGAGAAGCTTGAGGAATCGCCACACCGTTTTCCACAATGATTGAACTAATTTACACTCCCACCAACAGTCTAAAAGTGTCCCTATTTCTCTGCATCCTTGCCAGCATCTGTTCAGTTTCCAGACTTTTTAATCATCACCATTCTAACGCGTGCAAGATGGTATCCCATTGTGGTTTTGATTTGCATTTCTCTAATGACCAGTGATGATGAGCTTTTTTACATATGTTTGTTGGTCACATAAATGTCTTATTTTGAGAAGTGTCCGTTCATATCCTTTGCCCACTTTTTGATGGGGTTGTTTATTTTTTTCTTGTAAATTTGTTTAAGTTCCTTGTAGATTCTGGATAGTAGACCTTTGTCAGATGGATAGATTGCAAAAATTTTCTCCCATTCTGTAGGTTGCCAGTTCACTCAGATGATAGTTTCTTTTGCTGAACAGAAGCTCTTTAGTTTAATTAGATCCCATTTGTCAATTTTGCCTTTTGTTGCATTTGCTTTTGGTGTTTAGCCATGAAGTCTTTGCCCATGCCTATGTCCTGAATGGTATTGCCTAGGTTTTCTTCTAGGGTTTTTATGGTTTTAGGTTTTACTTTTAAGGCTTTAATCTGAGATAGTATAAATTTCAACTTGTAACATGCAAATTCATACATATTTATTTTATTTCAATGCTCAATGTAGAGCATTCAGTTTGAGAAAACAATTGCTCATGTGGGATACGAAAGCAAATTTTTTGTAAGTTTCAAGAAATAAATCTAGTATGTAACTGAAAGAGGAAACCTTGCTTGTCAAAGAGGAAGCCAGAGATGTGGGGTGGGTGAAACGCGTGTGCAAAGACCGTGCTAGAGGAGGAAAGATACATGGTAGGGAAGGGGTGTTAACTCTGTTATCGCTTCCTTTCAGGTAGCAGCATGGTTAAAACTCATCTTGATAATTTTGCCTCAGCAAAAAAGCCATCATTTTGTCATATGTTTCAATGTTATTATTGTGAAAGATGACAAAACATGACTGTAGGGAACCAAAGTGTAGGCATAGAAGATAATAAGTAACTTACGAAGGGGCAAGGAGGTGGTTGTGAAAATTGGAATAGGAAACAATTTGGAGTCCATAAGGTATGACAGGTTCTGATTTGCATTTTGCAAGGTTCTGTTGACAATTCTCACAAAATAGCATCGTGTGCAAACACCAAAGACCATCTTCAGTTTGTTTCCAGTCTAAATCTCAACTTCAATTCCTGATTATTTGCTGCACAAATAATGAACTACTATAAACTACTAGGAAACGCCACACAGAACCATGACTTCAGGACTTTGCCCAGCAGGTGTGGGGTAATTTCACTAAGAAAGAGGCAATAAGGCTGGGTGTGGTGGCTCACGCCTGTAATCCCAGCACTTTGGGAGGCCCAGGCGGGTGGATCACCTGAGGTCGGCAGTTCCATCCAGCCTGACCAACATGGAGAAACCCTGTCTCTACTAAAAACAGAATATTATCCGGGCGTGGTGGCGCATGCCTGTAATTCCAGCTACTCCGGAGGCTGAGGCAGGCGAATCACTTGAATCCAGAAGGCGGAGGTTGCGGTGAGCCGAGATCACACCACTACACTCCAGCTTGGGCAATAAGAGCGAAACTCCATTAAAAAAAAAAAGAAAAGAAAGAAAAAGAAAAAGAAAGAAAGATAAAATGAAAATTCGTGGCCGGGTGCAGTGGCTCACTCCCGCTTTGGGAGGCCGAGGTGAATGAGTCACCTGAGGTCAGGAGTTCCAGACCATCCTGGCCAACATGGTGAAACCCCGTCTCTACTAAAAATTCAAAAAATTTAGCCGCGTGTAGCTGCACACTCCTGTAGTCCCAGCTACTCGGGAGGCTGAAGCAGGAGAATTGCTTGAATCTGGGAGGCAGAGGCTGCAGTGAGCTGAGATCGTGCCATTGCACTCCAGCCTGGGTGACAGTGAGACTCTGTCTCAAAAAAAAGAAAAACAAGCAAATAGAAAAATGTTGACGCTATCATTTCAATTTTAAGTCTGGACTCAAATGTTACCTTCTCTGGGAATTCCTTCCCTGAACTCTACATATCCCCTATCAGGTAGAATTGTTATACCCTTCTATGTGTTCCAACATCCTCTAGCCTCCAACATATTGGGTAATAATATATCATTTATTTTTGTTCTGTTCTGCTTGATTGTGGACTAGAAGGACCTGGGATTTTGGCATTCATCTGTGCTTGCACAGTGATAAGGGCAGTGCCTGGCATGGAACATTAAGTTCTTTTTGGATGAACGTGTAAGTGAGTAATGTCTATTCCTTAATTCCAATAGCTCTTTGGTTATGTCCACCAATTCCTGAAGACACCATGGGAAGATGACACCTGAGTTAATAAACTTGGCTACAAAAGCTATACAAATATGTCTTTTAGTATCCTCTGTTTATGTAAATAGCTTAGCTTTCAACAAAAAAATTTTCTTTTTCACATTCCCCCCAAAAAAACCACACATGATTAGAGGTGTGATTTTTAGTATCTTAAATATTATTGAAGAGCTATTCAAGGTTATGTTTATAAATAAACTGAAATAAAAGAGATTAAAACCTTCTCTGAATCTTATCTGTACTGATTTTGCTATGGTCTAGCTAGTTAAGGTATTACAATGATCACATGGTTTAGCCCTGATTCTAACTTAGGCATACTATTCAGTCCAATGCTGTTTAGATTTGCTCGTGGGATTTGTTATAAAGTTCATGCCTCTCAGTGTTTTCACTGTCCCATTCTTGCCACTGTAAAGATCTAAGCACCATCAGTCTAATAATTTAGCAGACAAGGGAGTCTTCTTAGCTTTTACACACTATCAGGTATGGTTCACAGCAGTTACAATGCAGTCGGTTGTATTTCCAAGACCACCTACTGCAGAGAATCATTTAAACAGTTTCTAAAAGGCAGAAAGAGAGAGAGAGATGATAGATATTAACATCATAGACGAATCTGGAGATTCAGAGACTAACACACACACACTCACATACAAAAACAGCACTTCAGTTTTGGGTCTATGTGTGAAACCAAGTATGCCTTAAACAAGGAAGACAAGCTTTTCAGAAGTGCAGTTGGATAACTTCTGCCATAGAAATGGCTGAATTAGGACATAAGGGGGGAAAATTCCAGAAGAAGGGCACATCTCTTTCTTTTCTGCAGTTCGTTCTCACCTTCTCAACTCCTAGTAAAATGTCTCATTTTCAGGTTCTGTAAATCCTGCTAGTCTCAGGCAAAATTATGCTCAGGAGTCTCAAATTTTCTTATTTCATTTGAGTCTTTATTTAGTAGACTTCTCAATTTTTCTATTCATTACAAGTAAAAGCCTGTTGATCTTAATCAGCCAGGAAACTTATCTGTCTGGCAAATGACATATGTACAAAGATAATCATCAATGTCATGAGGTAACCCATTTCAACTGCCTATTCAGAGCATGCAGCAAGAGGAAATCCACCAAGTCGCAATATAACAATATTCTTTACTCCTGGATAGCTCAGTTAATGAAAAAATGGACACGGAACATGGTAGGAGAGCAAATCTTTCTCTCCCACAAGAGCCGTCCAGGTAGGTACAGGGTATTATTTTTTTCTACTCTCAGTCACTTAGCAGCAGGGGAAGTCATAGTCACAGTGCTTAGGAGATGAAACTTTATTGATTTAGGCATGGATTCATCTAGTTTAATTAATATATTGGGTATGAGGAAGCTACTTGCCGTACTTTCCAAGAGATTCTCTCTCCCTGAAGAGAAACATTTTTACTCAGCTTGTAAAGTGGAAGTAACAGATTTTCTCACATTAGAAGCTCATTTTCTGGGTATGAGACAGGAGAGTTCATACTAGGTATGTAGATCTCTTGCTTCTGTGTCTGATATGTGCTGCGGGACACATACCCTTCACACATGCTTTTGTAAATACTTTATAAAATAACCTGCTTCTTGGTTGGTCTTTATGATCCATAAGCTGTGGGATGCTTCTTTGAAGATGAAAATAGTAAGAGCCCCATCGAGCCATTCAAAGTCATCCCTTCATTGCATTCTGTGTACATGAAGTTGGGGTTTGTTACTGACATAATATATTCAGATACATTTCTATGTTAAAAGGATTGTGAGATGCATAGGTAACTGTGTTTATTTTCAGTTTTACTTATCAACATAGATGAATGAGAAAGAACTTGAAAGTAACACTAGATTAAGAATAGGAAAATTTGGCATGGATTTTGTTCCATTTTGTCCCATCTAATCACTTGGATAGTGTTCAGGTGTTCTTGGTCAGTTACTTGGATGCTCTGAGTTTCAGTTTCTTAGTAATTACAACGAAGATTTGAGTTACAGGATGGCTTTGAAAAAATAAACAAAACTCCCCTTTCTGTCAGTCAAGGATGTTGCACAGGGAGTTAGAGAATGTTCTTATGACTGAATTGCTTTTAAATTTCACAGTGTGCCTGCATTGGAAGTCTTGGCAGTACCTCCCCAGGAAGAATCTTCAGGCAGACTATCGAAGTCGGCCTCATCCCCACCACAGTATACATGGCTGACAGTTTTGAAAAAAGAGCAGGAGTTCCTGGGGGTGAGTGAGCCTCCTCCAACTTTGACTCTAGTAAGGGTTGGGTCTAGAAAAGAATACTGAGTTGCATCAACTGTTTTCCCACTTGGATTCATGAGAGGTGGCAGGTCCTCTAAAAAACATGGTAGATAAAGAGTTGATACTAACTGGGCCCTTTTGGGAACAGAGAAGCATTTCCTCAAAAAGACTTTAAATTGCTAGGATGAGAATGGCCAATAGGAGTGAAGGATTCATCATCTTTATCATTACTTAGATGTAAAGAACAATTACTGATGTTCAACATGACTACGTACATAAAGGCGCATGGAGAAAAGTATTGGCCATCCATGCATTGGGTAGTGCTTGTATCAATTCCTATAGTGGCCAGGGTATCCTGGAAAATCTTATGTGTGGATCACTTCTCAGGACAGTCTAGGACACTAAAGCAGTTCCTCATGTTCAGCCTCTATTATTAAAAAATGATACAATCTTGGGAAAATATTTTGATTTTCATGAAATTCATGTGTTTTTCTATAGGTAACACAAATTCTGATCGGTATGATATGCCTGTGTTTTGGAACAGTTGTCTGCTCTGTACTTGATATTTCACACATTGAGGGAGACATTTTTTCATCATTTAAAGCAGGTTATCCATTCTGGGGAGCCATATTTGTGAGTATATATCTATAATAGTTTCTGAAATAACACTGAACATAGGTCTCTCTCTTGCTAAGAACTAACCAGTTATTTCCAGTATTAAGATGATATTTATAATTCCTAACATAGATATGCTCATTAACAACAACAAAACATTCTTTTTATAATTAACGGTGGGTTAAACATTTAGCCCACAGTTTTATCCGATGAGAAACCTGAATCTAATTCAAGTTAAATGACTTGCCTAAGGGACACTTGGCTGATAGTAACTGAACCTAAACTTTCAGAATCCAACTCCAAGAACATACCTCTAGCACTATTCATCAATAAAGTTATATGATAACTACATACAGCTTTATCTGTCAACTAAAAATAATAACAGAGGCTGAGCACGGTGGCTCATGCCTGTAATCCCAGCACTTTGGGAGGCTGAGGTGGGTGGATCACCTGAGGTTAGGAGTTCGAGACCAGCCTGGCCAACATGGTGAAACCTTGTCTCTACTAAATATAAAAAATTAGCTGAGTATGATAGCGCATGACTGTAATCCCAGCTACTTGAGAGGCTGAGGCAGGAGACTTGTTTGAACCTGGGAGGCAGAGGTTGCAGTGAGCTGAGATTGAGCCGTTGCACTCCAGCCTGGGCAATAAGAGCAAAACTCTGTCTCAAAATAATAATAATAGAAAATAAAGTTATCTTCATGAAAAATGAGGAAAGAGATTGCTGGGCTGAGAAAAATTAAGATCAATGGGCATATGGTGACCTTCTATGCCCTAGAAACTTTTAGGTATTTTCTCGTGGCATCTCTTTTACTCATTGTTCTATGTGGAAAAACAGGTGGATGGGTGAGATAATAAGGTATATAACTTTTTAAAGGTCTAATTGACATATAATAAATTGCAAGTATTTCAGGTGTACAATTTGCTAACCTTCGACACACATAGACACACATGAAAACATCACCACATTAATACAATGTATGTATCCATCATTTCCAAAAGCTTCCCTGTGTATCTTGTAATTATTTCTTCCTCCCTCCACTCCTTCTCCTCTCATCCCCAAGAAACCATTCATCTGCTTTCTGTGAATATAAATTAACTTACATTTTTTATATAAGTACGTTCTCTTTACTGTTTGTCTTCCTTTGCTGCACAGTTATTTTGAGATTATTCATGTTTTTTCACTATATCGATACTTCATTCATGAGAATATATTTTAATTCTAAACTATATCACATTCACTTTGCATTCTGCTAAATCCTTAGTGCTCAGATGACTTGTTCAGGACTCTCCTTGAACCTCTACCTCTGTTATAATTGAAACTTGTATCTACTGCCTTTTTATTTCAAACACAGCTTATTAAGTGTCTCTCAACCCATCAAACTCACAATCTGAGTCTTTAGGAGATTGCTTTGAATTTGTGCTATTGACTTATATTTATATCAAATATGTAAATGTTTGGTAAAAATATCATCATGTACATTTTCATAATTACTCTATAGTCACATGATATATGTCAAACTCTGGAAATATGCATGCCACAAACACATGTTTCTTGCCTAGAGGAGCTGATGGAAGATGCACATACAAATAGACAATTGCAATAGAATGAGAGTGGTGGTCTAACAGATTCATGCCCCTGATGTTGCTGGACGTTGCTACTCCAAGAGTAACTCCTGCATTGTCAGGGTTAGCATCTCCTGGGAGTCTCATGTAAGTGAAGAATTTCATGCTCCATCCAGGACCTAATGAATAAGAATCTGCATTTTAGCAAGACCCTCACATGATTCATATACACTTTTTTTTTTCTTTTAGACGGAGTCTCACTCTTTTCGCCCAGGCTGGAGTGCAGTGGCATGATCTTGGCTCACTGCAACCTCCACCTCCCGGGTTCAAGCATTCTCCTGTCTCAGCCTCCCTAATAGCTGGGACTACAGGCACAGGCCACCATGCCTGGCTAATTTTTGTATTTTTAGTAGAGATGGGGTTTTGCCATATTCGTCAGGCTGGTCTCGAAATCCCGACCTCAGGTGATCCCCCTGCCTCGGCCTCCCAAAGTGCTGGGATTACAGACATGCGCCACTACACCCAGCCTTATTCGTATACACATTTACTTTTGAGGAGCACTCTATAGAAAATAAGAATAAGGAAATACTGGGCTCACAGGTGACATTACTAAGTAACTTTATCAAGTACCCCAAATTGTACCTATGTTTGGAAGATGGGGTTAAAAAGGACACATTGAAAATGAGAAACTCATTGTGGCTCTTTTTTTCCTCCTTTTTGAACAGTTTTCTATTTCTGGAATGTTGTCAATTTTATCTGAAAGGAGAAATGCCACATATCTGGTGAGTTGCCTGTTTCTGTCTTTGTTCCTCTTTGAAAAGGTAAGAAGAATGGAGTTTGAGGAGTCTTAAGGGAAACATGTCTTTGTCTCCTAAATTACCAGTGCATGTGGATATATGACTTTGTTTCAATCTATTTTGTGTCCTGGGGCTTTTTGCAACAGAAGTTGGATGTAATCAGTAGAAACATAAATTGCACCATTTAACATACAATGAAATTTATGTTTACCTTGATGCTCGTGCTAAAAAAAAGTGTCGCCACAATGGCATTGTCCTTGTAGTTATATTCACATGATCAAATAAATAATTAGTTTTCAATTAAGAAGAAGATTTGAGGAAAGACCATACGTGTCCATGTGGTTCCTGAATGCAGTCCAGCGAGAAAGAAATATATGCTCATTAAACAATGCGGCCATTTTCAGGGCTTCCCTTTTTAACCAAAATTTGGAAGCAATGTGGAATTTACTGAATGCATCCAGCCCTGAGATGAAGATAGGTTTATTGAATGTGCCAGCAAGTGCAGGCCCAGGTCTGAGTGTTCCTTATTATCATCAGGCGAGAGGAAGCCTGGGAGCAAACACTGCCAGCAGCATAGCTGGGGCAACAGGAATTACCATCCTGATCGTCAACCTGAAGAAGAGCTCGGCTTATATTCACATCCACAGTTGCCAGAAATATTTTGGGACCGAAAAGTGCTTTATGGCTTCCTTTTCCGCCGTATGTATTATTTTGTGTGGGAAGACTAAGATTCTGGGTCCTAATGTAAGTAAGAAGCCCTCTTTTCCTGTTCCATAAACACCATCCTTTTCTGTAACCTCCATTACATCGTATAGTGTTCTGTAAGTTCACACAGTCCAGGGAGACGCTGGCTGCCCGCTCCCCTCAACCCAGGCAAATTCCTTGGGGTTAAAGTTATCTACTACAAGTAACCATCTCTGGGTTTTCCTGTGTCTCTGTGTGTGTGTGTGTGTGTGTGTGTGTGTGTGTGTGACTTTAGAAGGACTGGTCAGATGATGGGGAGATGAAAGCAGGAGATGCTATAAGAAAATAAACTTTTGGGGCACCTACCACGTGACTCTTTGTTTATCGTTTGTTGCTGTTCAATAGGAAATGGTAGTGATGATGCTGTTTCTCACCATTCTGGGACTTGGTAGTGCTCTGTCACTCACCATCTATGGAGCTGGGGAAGAACTCAAAGGAAATAAGGTAGGTAGAAGCCTGATATACAATCCTGAATGACGGGTTAAAGAATTGGAGCTTTATTCCTTAAAAATATGGGCTGGGTTTTCTGAAACATTTCTTCCAGAAAATAGTTTCTCCAAGTTTTATTATTTTGGTTTCCAAATCTCACATTTTAAATCACATTTTATACTCATAAGTAGCACACATTTCATAGTATATCCATCTGAATGAGGGTTGGGAAAATAGGATCTGTATAATGTTAGAAAATATGGATGCCTTAAAGTGTGTGGAGCATGAGAGACGAACGTGCAGGAGGCTTGTGAGGAAACCACCCAGGTATCTGGCCTTGTTTTCTGCCCCAGAAGTAGCCGCCTATTCCTGTTTCTGTTTTTTTTTTTTTTTTGAGACGGAGTCTCGCTCTGTCGCCCAGGCTGGAGTGCAGTGGCCGGGTCTCAGCTCACTGCAAGCTCCGCCTCCTGGGTTTACACCATTCTCCTGCCTCAGCCTCCTGAGCTGGGACTACAGGCGCCCGCCACCCGCGCCTGGCTAGTTTTTTGTATTTTTTTTGTAGAGACGGGGTTTCACCATGTTAGCCAGTATGGTCTCGATCCCCTGACCTCGGGATCCGCCCGTCTGGGCCTCCCAAAGTCCTGGGATTACAGGCTTGAGCCACCGCGCCCGGCCTCCTGTTTCTGTTTTATTCCTTTATTTCTTGACATTTCCTTTCCAACTTGCTCTAAAACCTCACCTCAATATTCTTTCCTTTCTGATTCATGACTACCAACTGTTTCCACTTGCCTCACCCGTCCATTATACCTTTGATGAGAACCACTAGCACCTGGTGCTCCCGTACTTGCCCAGGTCTGATGGATGAAACATACTCTCTCCACCTGTCCACTTTCCTGAGGCATTTAAGTCTAGCCACCTTTTAAAATCACTCTCCTCCAGGCTGGGCACGGTGGCTTACGCTTGTAATCCCAGCACTTTGTGAGGCCGAGGAGGGTGGATCCTTTGAAGTCAGGAGTTCAAAACCAGCCTGGCCAAATGGCGAAACCAAATCTCTACTAAAAAATACAACAAAACAAAACAACAACAATGAAAACAAAAAAAGGAAACATTAGCCCAGTGTGTTGGCAGGTTCCTGAGGTTTCAGCTCCCCAGGAGGCTGATGCCGGATAATCGCTTGAGCCCAAGAGGTGGAAGTTAAGTGAGCCAAGATCATGCCACTGCACCCCAGCCTGGGTGACAGAGCCAGACTTGGTCTTTAAAAAAAAAAAAAAAAGTAGCCAGGCCAGTGGCTCATGCCTATAATCCCAGCACTTTGGGAGGCTAAAGCCGTAGAATCATTTGAGGTCACGAACTGGAGACCAGCCTGGCCAACATGGTGAAACCCCGTTTCTACTAAAAATACAAAACTTAGCAGGGCATGGGGATGCACGCCTGTAATTTCAGCTACTCATGAGGCTGAAGCAGGAGAATTGCTTGAACCCGGGAGGCAGAAGTTTCAGTGAGCCGAGATCGTGGCCACTGCACTCCAGCCTGGGTGACATAGTGAGACTCCGTCTCAAAAGAAAAAAAAAAAAACAAATCACTCTCTTCCAAAGATAGATAAATAAGACAGCAGATATACTAAGGAATAACCTCACCAACTTGTCATCGACTGACATGATTTCTTTTGGGCCCACTTAGCCAGCCAGTCTGGTTTGGTTTTCTGGAACTGAAAGAAATAATTAGAGTGTAGTGACAGAGAGTGTGAGAGTCAGAAAGACAAAAGTAGATGAGATAAGTCTCTTGAGCAAGACTTCTAGGGATGGGAAATTTGTGGTGATTGATAAGAAATGATTTTTCCCTTATCAGGTTCCAGATGATCGTGTTTATGAAGAATTAAACATATATTCAGCTATTTACAGTGAGTTGGAAGATTGAGGGGAAATGTCTCCTCCCACTGATTCATAAGAATCACATGTCCAGAACACTCTGATTCACAGCCAAGAATCCAGAAGGCCAAGGTCTTGTTAAGGGGCTACTAGAAAAATTTCTATTCTCTCCACAGACTGCCCATTTTACATTAGATTTATTCGCCAGATGAGAATATTTTGTTTTTGTTGCTTCTGTTCCCCTTAATATTCTCCTTCCATTTGTAGATATGATAGACTCCTATTTTTCTTGTTTTATATTATGACTTCACACACCTCTCTGCTGGAAAGCCAACATGTAATAAGCAAGATTTAACTGTTTGATTATAACTGTGCAAATATAGAACACAAGAAGGCTGGCTGAAAGTTGAGTTAAACTTTGACAGTTTCATAATATTTGGTTCTTAGGGTTTTTTTTTTTTTTTTTTTTTTTTTTAGCATTCCTATTAGTTACAGTTGGGCATGGTTTGTACCACCCACCCATACCCATACAGTCACACACACATATATATAAATATATATAACTTACACTCTATATAACTTTCTATGCAAATATTTTACCACCAGTCAATAATACATTCTTGCAATGTATTGCATGAAGTTTTATAAAAATCTGTATAATTGCCTATATCACCAGCACATTCACTGACATGGTATTATTAGATAATGTTTGCAGATTGATAAATAGGAAGTGGGGAATTTTATTAAGTTACCCATTGTCTGGGGAGGTAGATAGGTAAAAACAGGGAAATTGTAAGTGGAGAGATCATTTAGTGAGTGAAAAAAAGAAGAATAAATTAAGACCTGAGCTGAAATAAAGTGAGTGGAAATGGAAATAATGGTTATATCTAAAACGTGTAGAAAAAGAGGAACTGGTAGACTTTGTTAACAAATTAAAGAATAAAGTTAGACAAGCGACTGGTTGACTAATACATTAAGTGTTTGAGTCTAAGATGAAAGGAGAACACCGGTTATGTTGAAAAAAATGATAAAAAGGACCAGGCACGGATGCTCACGCCTGTAATTCCAGCACTTCAGGAGGCCGAGGCAGGCAGATCACGAGGTCAGGAGTTTGAGACCAGCCTGGCCAGCATAGTGAAACCCCATCTCTACTAAAAATACAAAAAAAGAATTAGCTGGGTGGGGTGCGTAGTCCCAGCCACTTGGGAGGCTGAGGCAGGAGAATTGCTTGAACCCAGGAGACAGAGGTTGCAATGAGCCTAAATCGCACCAGTGCTGCACTCCAGCCTGGGTGACAATGGGAGACTCCATCTCAAAAAAAAAAAAAAAAAAAAGATAAAGATAAAGATAAAAAGTCAGAAATATGAAAAGTGGAGGAAGAGTACAACTAGACCTAAATTAAGCTCATTTTTAGACTTTCATTTTGGGGAGACAAAGGGAAATGCAGCCATAGAGGGCCTGATGACATCCAATACAGAGTTCTAGTAAAGATAAAATTTGACAGAGGTTTAGTGTCAGTATAGGAGAAATTATTATTAAATGAAGCAAGTTAACACTGTAAGAGAACTATTTTAAGATAGAGGTGAAGCTAAGTTAAACTTCACATGCCTATAAATGGAGGAAAAAACTAAGGATAAAAATCTAGAATAGAAGATACAATAGGCCGGGAGCCGCGGCTCAAGCCTGTAATCCCAGCGCTTTGGGAGGCGGAGGTGGGCGGATCACGAGGTCAGGAAATTGAGAGCATCCTGGCTAACGTGGTGAAACCCCGTCTCTACTAAAAATACAAAAAAATTAGCCGGGCGAGGTGGCGGGCGCCTATGGTCCCAGCTACTCGGGAGGCTGAGGCAGGAGAATGGCGTGAACCCGGGAGGCGGAGTTTGCAGTGGGCCGAGATCGCGCCACTGCACTCCAACCTGAACGACAGAGCCAGACTCCGTCTCAAAAAAAAGATACAATAATTAGTCGTAAACATGCATGCATTGTGAAACCATAGAGAACAGGTAGCCCAAAATAGAGAAAGATTAGATAAAGAGAAAATAAGTAACCGTCAGAGACAGTATCTGTAGGCCTGGGCAGGAGAAAAGTCCGCAGTGATAAGCAATCCACCTAAGGCATGAATATGGGGCAGAGAAAATAGCAATAGTGAATGAATGCAGAAGGTGCTGAGAAATTCCGCACACGGGTATTGTGATGAGTAAATGAATAAAACATTTGCAAAGACCTTTAGAAACAGAGAATGGGGGCATATGTGAGAAATAAGATAGTTGATTATGAATAGAAAGTAGTGAAGAAAAGCAAGCGAAGAAGAAATTCTATTTATAAAAGAAGGAAAAGATCGTTTGTGTTTTTAGCCTAAGAGTCCTGTAGAATGACCGAAAAAAATCAGTCTGAGAGTATTAGTCACAATTAATGAAATAATTAATTACATTTTATGTATTGAGGATGCCAAGATTAAAAGGTGACAGGTAGATGTTAATTTCACTAGATTATGAAAGTGATCACGACAATTACACAACAGATAATTAAGTGACTTGGTATGCTTTATTTAATTGTAGGGCCTGAGGTTTTCCATTCTCATTTTTCTAAAATAAAATTTTGTTTCTCCAACTTTGACAGCAGAATAAAAAACCCTACCCTTTCACTGTGTATCATGCTGAGCTGCATCTCTACTCTTGATCATCTGTGGGTATTAATTACATCCCTTCCATGGCATGGACATTCACATATAGACACTTAAACCTGGTTTACCAGAACCTCTAGGAGTGGATCAAATCTATCTTTACAGTTGTATAATATTTCTCTTTCATTTCACCCAATTTATATTTTCATCATTGACTACATATTTCTTATATGCAACACACAATTTATAAATTTTTTCTCAAGATCTAACTGAGAGTTTTCCCACCCTGCCTGCCATTTATAGTATGCCCACCTGAGGCAGACACAGAGCACAATGCTGGGGTTCTCTTCACACTATCACTGCCCCAAATTGTCTTTCTAAATTTCAACTTCAAGGTCATCTTCTCCATGAAGACCACTGAACGCACACCTTTTCATCCAGCCTTAATTTCTCCCTCCATAACTACTCTATCCCACGATGCAGTATTGTATCATTAATTATCAGTGTGCTTGTGACCTCCTTATGTATTCTCAATTGCCTGTATTTGTGCAATAAATTGGAATAATGTAACTGGATTTCTTATCTGTTTGTGTTGGCATACAAGATTGAGGGACTTATCAAAGATAATGGGGAACTAAGGCATCAATAAAATGATGCCAAAGACTGAGAGTGGTTTCTGAAGTCCTCCTTTTCATCAGCCCTTTATCAAACAGAACACTCTATAAACAACCCATAGCCAGAAAACAGAATGTAGGAACAATCACCAGCCATCTTTTGTCAATAACTGACGGAATAGAGTTGAAAGGAAACTGGAGCATGAGTCACATTTGACCAGTCAGTCCTCACTTTTACTTACTTGCTATGTAAACTTGAGAAAGTTTTTTCTCCTTGTGAACCTCAGGTTCTACATCTGAAAATGAGAAATTTGGAACAAAAGATCTCCAACTGGTCTTTATGTTCCTATATTCTGTAATTTTTAAATATTTAGAATTTTTGGTAATCACAATTACCAAGTTTGTGGCTGAGATAGCAATAGCAATCAGAACTATTTGGTGGACATATTTTCAAAGGAGCAGCTCTCCACTTGGGGTAAAGAAGTATGTGGTGTAGCAAGACACCTGGAACAATAATATTTCTCTAAATCCCTCTGACAAATGCTAATCAAAGTGTGTTTTTTTCCTAAAAATTTTTCTTAGAAATAAAATTTCCCATATTATTCCCATTATAGGTAAATAATAGGTAATAATTCTTGCTATAGACATGGATCTACTTATATAAACAACTAATGAAACAGGGTACCATATTTTTAATTGTAACTTGATTTAGAGTGTTGGGGTAAATATATATATTCAAGAGGTGTGAGGGTCCCTTGTCAGTATCTCTCTGTGTTACATGAGTATTTCCCTCCACTGGAAAACCTCTGTTCACTCCACAAATAGTTAAGTGAGCTGAACTTATGTCTCCAAATAGCTTCTATCTGGGAGTTCCAGCATTGTATTTTATCTTAGTTTTTTTTGTTTGTTTTTTAAATGAATATATTAAACATAACTACTTTAAATACATTGTGAATGTTCAAAAATCATTTAGCCCAGTTTCTAGAATGATGAATGGAACCTATTTTTTTATTTATAGACATTGATGTGTAATCCTGAACTTGAAATTAGGAAAAGAGACACTGTCAGCTTCTCAGGGACGTTTGGCAATATTCACCTATCCCTTAACCCTGGTTGGAAAAAGTGGGCTTAAGACCCTGGGTAAGATCAGGGAATGTAATTATTAGTAACCTTCACATAGACTACTTCCAGATAAATTGAACTGTAAAATCATATGTTACAAAATGATATTATCTTGTCCTAAAAAGGCAGAGGAGCAGATGGAAAGAGGCTCTAGGGAAAATGGTATCAGATGAGTTTTGGGAAACCTTTAAAAACATATCAACTTTCTTCATCAGTGAGAAATATCTTAACCCACTATGTCTGCCTATCGGGAAGGAACTGGTTGAAAAACAGCACAAGAGGCTCAATCTGTGAAAAACAGAAGGAAAAGAGAGAGCCAAGATCAATTTTTGGCTCTCACAGTAAACAGTGCATAAAAGGTGCCCAGAGAAAACAGCTCATCTCCTCTCATTATTTGGTGGCCCTATATAACATTTTTGGATTGGAATCTGTTTTGTGCTGCTGTAAGGCCTTGTCCTGGGGATAGATTTAGGCAGGGCAGGAGAAAGGCTGGTGAGTAGTCTATATGAGACTGTTAAGAGTGGTTTCCTACATGGTATGCTATTGTTCAATAATTTTTCTTTTTTTTTAAGAGACAAGTGACCTAGGATAGACAATGGTGCTGCCATGTTTTACCATTCGTAAATAAATTGATATTCTATCTAACATGATTCTATGGATATGGCAATAGACCTGAATAAGGGCTGATGCCCTGTTAGAGTCCAGACATTTTGCTAAGACACAGAACAGAAAATATGAATATACTATAAATGCTGTCCTTCAGAAGTTCATGTGCAAAAAGGGAGAGAGGAGAGAAAGATCCACTTAGGCAATAGAAGATGCTACTAGAACATAGAGAAAGAGTTTTTCTGGCATGAACAGTTGTCACGAGAAATCAACAATTAAACTGGAAAATTTGAACTGGAATTCCAAATCCTATAGGAGAATAAGAAAGTGAATAAAGCCAGGCTGGTCGTGGTAGCTCATGCCTGTAATCCCAGCACTTTGGGAGGCCGAGGTGGGGGGATCACAAGGTCAGAAGTTCAAGACCAGCCTGGCCAACATAGTGAAACCCCACCTCTACTAAAAATACAAAAATTAGC